GCGGGATCGTTTAAATTCTTTTGCAGTGGGCCGCGGAAACATATGTGTTTGGCTGTGTGGGCCGTGAGTTAAAAAAGGTTGGGAACCACTGATGTAGGCTATTTGCTTTCACATTTGGGCTCACGTTTCTTGGGAAAAAAAGTTTCTAAGCAGTTGCTTTCCCTCATTTATTTTTTTGTTTCTTTCTTGCCTATCTTTTCTTTTTTGAAAACCGGATTTAGCTTTCTTTAGCATCATCTTCCAACACGGATTTAGCTGTTTCATCAGAATGACCGCTAAATTAAATGCGCCTAGTTAAAAAGCCCGGTGAAGACTATACCATTGCAAGGGGTGAGGGTGCTTGTCCTCAGGCACTGTAAGCTAGGAAACAATTCAATCCGTCAACCGATTTATGGGCACCATCATTTCCCAGCGCGTACAAGTTATCTTAGGCTGGCTTTCACGGTTTGAATTCTGAGATTCAGATCGAGCTCTAGGTAATTTTTTTTTCGAACTGGTTGGTTTGACTTTTAAGAAATTCGAGTTGTAATGAGTTTGAGAACTGATGTACCACTGTAACTCTATTCATATAAGCTGACTCTATAAGCTAACTCAGTAAGCTAACTCTATAAGATAACTCTAATCAAATCCTGTAGGCTAAGCAGGGACAGTCGTGGTTCATTAAGTGATGTAACTGTGGATTAAAGTTCTCAAGGTGAAAACAAGAAAATCATATATTTTTAAATATTGACTTTTATGTCTACAAGCCTTAAATGTAAAGCTTTTTGTCTGATACTATTTATATGTCCCATTTAAGAAAGTTTTTTTTAAATTATGTTTTAAATAGAAGTTATTTCTGAACTACATTATTGAGTTATTGATATATAATTTGGTAACACTTTTCTTGATGGGACATAAATACTTTGTAACACTACTGAAGTACAAATTATGACCAAATATAATCACTGATTGAGAAAAGATGCATCACAATTCATTTATAAACAATCATGATTAGTATTTCACTTGTTATTCATTACTTGTTCCTTCAGTAGTTCCTTCAGTAGTTCCTTTCAGAATTAACAGATATGGTAACTGGTAGAGATAAAGCATGTCACGATTAATTAATGATGAATTACCATGAGATCAGTACATAAGTATACAGCATAAGTAATAGCATAATACAGTCAGTCCTACTACATCGCATGATATTACACTGCAAATCTGTTCTAACGCGATTGATATACAATACCCAAGTCCGATACAATGCGGAATGGCATTTGTATTTGCACAATTTTCAGTCAGAGAGACAAGCACTACACAAGCTATAACGCCAAATGGAGAAACACTACTTGCTTGCAAAAACAGCTATTCAAGTGAATGATAGTGATGTCTCATTAGTGAAGAAATTGTGAACCTGATCTTTTTAGTGAATCGGTCAAACCGGTTTTCAAATCTAAAAGAATCGAACTTTTTGTACATCCACGCATTGCACAGGTCAATGGCTTAGATTATAAAAATCTAAAAATATTTGACAAATTATCATATTCAAACAGCAACATTTTTAATTCACTTGCATTTGGTTTTTGTGGACTGTCTGTAGGCATTGTGCCTTCAGCACCCCTCCACATACCATAATCTGCTGCATACCCGGTCGTATGGTCGCTGTACCTCATTACTCCTTACTGCTGTATTTTCTGACCCCACTCGACAGTGCTCTTTCTTCAAAGAAGACTCCAGGCGTGCCCCAAAGTAAACCAAGAGCACCATCTAATGGGGTCAGAACATATAGTTCATGGTTCATGAAGCGTAGTTTTGGCCATCACTACTCCTGACTCTTGGCAATGGACAAGTTACCTAGTTAGGCATGTGCTGTTGAAGTGTTTGTCACTACAGGATCTGAGTCAACCGTGGATTTGAGTCGCGCATGCACCAGTGTGCATTCCAGGAAGATTCCAAGGAGAAGACAATTTGCGACCACTGGGTTCACGATGGGAAATTTATCTGCTGGTGCTATAGGAAGAGAGGGGACCAGGCACGCTTTTGCCCAGAAGCCCACACCCGAGATTCTAGCAGACAAGCTGAGAACATTGCAGTGAAGGAGGGACAACCCTATCAGTTAGTTGAATGAGCAGCGGAAGTAAAACCAACGGAACCGAGAGAGTCCATGGAGCAAGAGCGGCATGAGTTGGAGCGGCTGCGCAGTGAACTGGTCAGCTGGGAGCAGGAGCAAAAGCATCCGGTCCAGGCAGCAGAGACAGCCTTACACGGCAGTCAGATGACTCGGCTCAGCGTGGAGGAGGTATGTCGCAGGTTGGAGGCCCAGCTGGTCCACAGGTGCTGCGAACTGGAGGAGTGGGAGCAGCAACTGCAGGATGTGCTGGTGGAGGGAGTGTATTTGGAGATTGCCTGCTAGAAGCGTGAGTGAGACCCGGAGGGGCAGGATGTGGTGGCCATGCTGCGTGACCATGAGGAGGCATGCCGTGCTCTAGAGGCCCAGCTGGCGGTGGAGCTCCGCGAGTTACGGGAGGAGATGGCCTGCTGGGAGCGACCGCTGGGAAGGGTCAGCACCCGGCGGGACCCACAATGTCGACACCCGGCAGCAGCCCAATGTCCGACAGCCTCCCAGTGTCCTTTGCCTTGCCAGAGCTTGTAAGTTCGAGTGTTGACAGCTTCCACCCTTCATCGGAGACACACCAGAGGCTGACACTAAATATGTGGGACTTGTCCTAAGGCTGAGGTGGGGACTGGGTGTGATGTCACCATGATGGCTGACCATTGAGAGGGAGGGCAGTGTAGTGCCAGCGAGAGCGGAGTCATCTGCATATCCCAGCATACTCACAAGTTGTGTATATAGGTCTGTGTATATCTTGTTTGTATTTTACTACAAATACTAGTCGTGCTCCTAATTGATGCATGTGCCCTGATTACCTATCCTGTATGTGAAGTCCTGACATGTCTCTAGCTGTTGTATAATTACCCACCGTGTGTGTGCCTTACCATCCTGTGTGAGACCTCCCCACGTTTCCCTGCCATGTTGGTCGGAGTGTGGTTGTTGCTTATCGTGCAGTCTCTTAAGGGCTGTTATTAAAAGAGCAATTCCATATGAAAATGTCTCGCCTTGTCTTTTTTCTGCCGCCACAATGCCTCGGTCTGTCCAGTGCTACAATACTTTAACAGTTTAACATGGTTGACTCAGATCGGCAGCGAATGCACGACTCAAATCCACGGTTGACTCAGATCCTTTAGTGACACCGGTTAATAAGAAATTCTTATGAGACTCGTAATGCCCAGATGAGATGTTTTTCATATAATTTATTAATATATAATTATTATTATTTCTTATTTAAAATACATGCAAATGCATTATTGGCCACTGGTATCACTGTTATAATTATTTTATTAATATTATTTGGTGTTAGTAAGTTATTTTGTAAGTTTTGGAGTTCCATTCCCCTAACCTTATTTTTCCCATTCCCAGTATATTTTAGTACATGATTTTAGTGAGCGCAAGGTTTTTCAGGAACACGTTAATTGCATTGCAGCTGGACGAACTGTACTATAGTATTTGAACCCCATCAAGTAAAGTATTACCAATAATGAAATATTAATATTGTTGCAACAATACATAGTCTGTTTAACCTACCGTTGTTCCTCACCACCACAGAATTCCTGTCGTCTGCCAACATATTAGGTTGGCTTATCTGCTTAATAAATGTTTTTTAGGTTAGAGAATTAAAGTAGGCTTTAGCTGTCTTTAATATTCATTTGCCCTAATATTCATCAGTGAGTTTTGTCTCTGGGAAATGAAAGACTCTCTGTGCTTGTCTATAGATGTCTTAGTCAGAACAGGATCACTTTGCTAGAACCTGGGGTCTTCGGTGATCTTCGTAAACTACGCTGGCTGTGAGTACAAATCCACCATCATCTTAATCTCTGAGAAGCTGCCCTGTTATGTGTTTCTGCGTGTGTGTGTGTGTGTGTGTGTGTGTGTGTGTGTGTATGTGTGTGAGTTATGCATGTCTTACTTTGTGGGGACCAAATGTCCCCACAATGTGATAAAAACCTGTTATTTTGACATTATGGGGACCATTTTTTTGGTCCCCACAAGGGGAAACACAATTTTATAAAATTCTGTGAATGCAATCAAAAACTAAAAATGCCCAAAATCTTGTTTTTCGTTTGGTTATTTATGGTTAAGGTTAGGGCTGGGTAGGGTTGTGTGATTACATTATGCCCATAGAAATGAATGGATGGTACCCACAAAGTATTGAATACTATTGTGTGTGTGTGTGTGTGTGTGTGTGTGTGCATTGTGCATGCACACATATCTGTCAATTATAAATGTGTGTTCAATCTGGCAGAATGTTTTTTGTTGATATTCATTACAGTGTCAATATACTTATAATAACTGGCATTAATGGCTTAGCATTCTGGCCGAGCTGGTATGAATTAATTTTGGTTTAATTGCATGGTTAATGCTAATAGATCAAAATGTATCAACAAATGAACTGAACAAAATGATTACATAAACATCGCCCATTAAGAACTGCTAGAAAGAGTTGTGGGCAAATTAATTACTTTGAGGAAAAAAATTAGAGAAGTGAAAGTAAACTTCATCCATATTAATGGGGGGAAGTACCTGTAAAGCAAGGTGGCGTTATGGACAGTGTTGACTGATTAAGGTATGATGAGTTTAATTGGTGTGGCCTGATCCAATCCCCATAGGAAAAGAAGAGTGAAACCTTAACTAGAGGTATTTCCTCTGCATCAAGTCAATGGGCCTTGCCTGTGATAAATGAAGGTCCCCCCCTCCTACCCCAAGCAGGTCCCTGTAGCGGCACCTCTCACAGCGTGATTGTGCCTGTTCCTTCGGTACCCATTGCACAGTGTTCCTCACAGTTATCTGTTCCCTATTTCTCTGTTGAATCCAATTCAGGATCCTGGATGATAACCCTTTGAAGAGCATCTCCCCGGACACATTCACTGGGCTCATGTCCCTGTTTTTCTTGTATGTATTCAATTAATTATCTTCAGTGGTTCCATTTCAGCAGGCTTGCCTTTGATGTGGGTGTAGCTTTTGTGTGCCATAGTAGTGTCCCGGAAGCCCGCCGCCCACAGTCGCCTGAGCTATACCAAGAAACATCAGGGTTATGCCTCACACAGCATCTCACATACAACCCATGATGAATCGATTTCTAAAGCCAGTACAGCATCCTGGAATCTTTTAAGGGATAAATTTTTATCCCACTTTTAAATCTTAAAATAAGGTACTTTTACTGAAGCGAAATATTGCAATCATAATATAATATATTGCAGGCTGTCGTATTATGTGGCAAGGGTCTTAAAGGGTTAAATTGTGCAGTGAGTGTGTATACCAGGTGCATTGTGCAATATCACGAGAACAGTGTGATGTGTTTTTGCTTGTTAAAATCTGTTGAGAAATGTAGCTTAATTTTGAATGTACCAGGCTATTTATATTCTTAATTAAAAACATCATCAGAGCTATTGACAGTGAAATACAGCAATATAAATTGCCATATTTTTCCCACTTGTGTGTCTCCCCTCTAATATCTGCGTCAACTGGCCATTTCTTTTTATTTTTCCACTTTTCCAATATTTGAATTTTATTTCCACTTTCACAGTTTTCCTTTCCTTTATATGCACACGGTGTGTCCCCATTGTTCACACCGTCTGAAAGTTTCTCCGGTAATAAGGGTGCTATTGGCATGCTGGAAAGAGAAGCCAAACGGGTCCAACACAAGGATGCACAACATGCCTGCATGTGTTGAAAAGTAGTTTAAAATGTCCTTAAAACATTCCTTGGTTGGCTGATGTATCTTACCGGAACCTGTCCCCCCTCCCCCACCACAGGTCCATGGTGAACACATCCCTAGAGGAGCTCCCCCCAGCAAGACTGTGCTCTCACATGCCTTCCTTAAACTGGCTGTAAGTCCCCGTGGCTCATTCTTGTCTACTGCTGAGCTCCTCTGGCAGCTGGTGCACCATGTTGGTACACGGTTTCTACCGCTTCATTATATTCATGAAATATCCCATGTGCCAGTCCAAGTCAGTTAGGGTGGTTAAATCCTAATAAATGATGCTGGCTTCATAGGAACTCCAGCAATCATGGTGTTTCAACAGGCGTACAGACTTACAATTACACAGGACCTATTCAGCTGCAATGGCCATAAACGACTGATGGTCACGAAGCTATTCTTTAGATGACGGCTGACTCTGTGACACTACAGTCGCATTTCTGTAGGGATCAAACCTGAATAGTAATGCTAGTTCTCCCCTGGTGTACATACATAGGAGCACTGGGCTTATGAAGTATCTGAAGGCCACACAGTGCTGACTATTATAAAAAAAATGCAATTAAAGTTTGCTTTATTTTAGCATATATGTATAGAGAAGCAGGCATATTGAGACAAATGGGGACAGTACGTGTCCCTGCTGTCTTTCTGCCAGAGGACGCCAGCTGTCCTCCATCAGATTACTGCTTCATCTCATTAGGGATCTAATTAATGCAGCTGCTAAACCTGTGATAAAGCCGTTAGTTACATTCTGGGAATGAAACATCCATCTGCAATAAATGTATAATCATGTTACAAAAAATAAGTATTTCTTTTTGTATTTTCTTGACACCCATCTGCATGTATTTTGCTGAAGTAATTCAGATTAAGCATCTTGCTGAAGGATACTGTAACACAGGCTACCGGACATGTAGGTACACAGGCTGGATATGGAGGTGGTGAGTTCACTGACACCATTTAAAATAGACTGGACTGGTAACTAAAAGGAACAGCCCACACCCCAGGCCACTCGGGGAAGAACAACAAAATGGAAAGTTTTATTATGAGAGTTAATAAAATTTCTTATAACGAGTGTCTTAAACCCTAAGATGGCAACCTATAATGAAAGAAAATGAAACAGACTCCCGTTCATTTCCTTATGCTTTAGCTAGCTTGATATGTTGTGGCTTATCAGGTCTAGATTGAGTTAACTTCATCTGACAAGTAACCAAGCTAGCATTCTTGGCTATTATTTCTAAATGACACAAGAAGGTACTCTTACTGAAAGCATGTCTTATGTGTGATGTTGCTCTTCCACCCTAATGTTATGCTTGCACCACTATGCATGCAGGGGGGCCAGGGGGCATTAATATTCAGATCACAACTTACCTGGTGGTCAACTATCACTGTACATGATGGGGATCAACGTGCAGAAGGCCCCGGGGACCCCTAGTGGTCACCTGTGTTGTATATGCTGAGGGGCCCAGGGTACCTGATGGCTAATTTGCATTGTATATGTAAAAGGGCCCTGCTTTATATGCTTTATATGTGGAGGGGCCTTGTGGTCAAATTGCCATGTCGTAGTGTTTCACTTGCACTATAAATGTTGGGACTCACAACCACTAGTGCTCCGAGGCCCCCTCACCAAACACAAGCTGTTTTATGTTCAACTTCGCTATCTGTCTTGCTAACTACAGGTACAGTAGCTATCACATTATGTGGTACATTGGCTATCTTAGCTAGACTGACATTAGGGGAACTAGCACGGGAGTGAGGGGGGCGACTGGCTGATCAGGTCCTCCCCTGGTCTGTCTGTGCTCGCTGTCAGTGCCGGCTGGGGGAGGGGGGTGATTTTAGCTTTGTCGCTGATCCCGCTGCTAGTCTGATGAGCTTAAATTGGAATTAATTTTTGCATTTCCCAGTTAGAAAGTACGTTATTAATGTTAATACGTATAATTCTTTCCCGCTGCACTGCTATACTGGACCTTAGCTGTCAAATTAATCAGTAGATTACTTGATTATTGTTATAATTGATAGATACAGCCCTACTTTAGATATGATTTAGAACCCAGAAATATAAAACAGATTATCTGGCAGGCAATATGACTCAATGTTCAATTTTAAGTTAATTTGCATGAAACCACTGAAGGGAAGGGATGAGAAAGGAAAAAGGAAGAGTGTTGAGTTGGGGGGCGGGGCTGTGGAGTGACATTACTTTGCATTACTTTCTGATTCGTTGAGCCTCAGGCTACGTCCACACAGCTACATTTTTGTTTAAAAAAGCGGAGTTTAGTCTCCGTTTTCGCATTTTTGTCCACACTACCCTGGAGCTCCCCAGACAGAGACTTTTGTAAACGCTCTCATAGCCTTTGAAAACTCTGCTTTATTGTTACAGTATGGAGTACTGAAAGGGAACACATACTCTAATGATGCGTTCCATTTACCTCGGAGGTCGGAAATCAGAGCTGGGAATGACAGCACTCCCGAGTTAACCACGTTCCAGGACAAGAAGTCGTAAAGACATTTATCAATATCAATGACCTGTTTCAAAAAGCAGGATTTCTTGCTTAACCCATCAACTTGTCAGATTTAAGGTACCCCAGTCTAAATGAACTTTGTCTTTGTTCACTTACATTTACAGTAGCCCAGGCTACCTTAAATCTTATCCAGCTCAGCAAGAAATCCTACTTTTTGTAACAGGCCCCATTTCTAGCCAGGTTTGTTAATAGCCATTGTTAGCAAAAACAGTTGATAACAACGCATTATGTGGTACTTTACACATACAGAGACTGTAGCAACATGTCCACAGATATCGGTTGGACAGTCCTATGTATGCAACATGTGACAGACGTGAAAGGGTCTGGAGAAGCCATGGAGCATGACCAGTTTGGTGGTGGGTCAGTGATGGTCTGGGGATGCATATCCATGGAGGGACGCACAGACCTCTACAGGCTAGACAATGGTATCTTGACTGCCATTTTGTGCTGGGATGAAATCCTTGGACCCATTGTCAGACCCTACGCTTGTGCAGTGGGTCCTGGGTTCCTCCTGGTGCACGACAATGCCTGGCCTCATGTGGCGAGAGTATGCAGGCAGTTCCTGGAGGATGAAGGAATTAATAGCATTGACTGGCCCCCACGCTCCCCTGACCTAAATCCAATAGAACACCTCTGGGACATTATGTTTCAGTCCATCCGACGGCGCCAGGTTGCACCTCAGACCGTCCAGGAGCTCAGTGATGCCCTGGTCCAGATCTGGGAGGAGATCCCCCAGGACACCATCCATGGTCTCATTAGGAGGATGCCCTGTCATTGTTAGGCATGCATACAAGCACGTGGGGACCATACAAACTACTGAGTACAATTTTGAGTTGCTGCAATGAAATTTCGGCAAAATGGACTAGCCTGCCACATTATTTTTTCGCTTTGATGTTCAGGGGGTATTTGAATTCAGCCCTGTAGGTTAATAATTTTTATTTCCATCAAACGATGTGGCATCCTTTCATTCCTAACACATTACCCAATCCATATCAGTATAGACATCCAGCATGATTGTTTTTCCCATGGAGATCTGATGTGTTTTCAAAGTGTTCCTTGAATTTTTTGAGCAGTGTACTTGAACAGTTTAATACTTTAATAGATTAACATGGTTAACTCAGATCTGTGGTTCATGTGCGACTCAAATCCAGTAAGTTGCACTTAAACATTTTTACTCAGTTATAGGAGATAAATCTTAGCAAGCTTTGCAATTTTATTGATGGTTCCTTTTCAGCATTTTCGAGTATATGCTAACAAAATCAGTCTGAGCTTTGCATGCACTCTCTGAGACAAACATAATCATTCTCATCCTTGCTGTTGAACCCACTCAGATTGCGTGTTGCGTTTGTTAGTAATTAAACACAAATGAGTGAGGAGGAGAAAAGTGGACAAGAATTGGTCATGAAAAGACATTCGTCTTCCACTGTGTATGGAATTATTTTGTATTCCATAGAGACGATATTGAGCAAAATAAAGTGATTTGTCAGCACTGCTTTATGTCTGTTGGCACAACTCACAGCAACACCACCCACTTATTTGATAGACTCTCTTGCTAGATAATAGGTGATACTTGGCATTACTTACCAAATTAACAGTTTCACACACTACAATACAATGAAATTATATTAATACTAATTACAAAGCTTCCACTGAAAACAATAATCCAGCTGCTGTTACACTGATGAAAATGAACAAACACTGTCAGTACCCGGATGACTGGTCCGTTATCAAGTTTCGCAGATTGACTTGGTGACACACGATGTTGCGTTTCATAGGTTAGCAAGGCATGGCTTTCCAACTCACCACAAGAAAGTTTTGCTATTTACATTCATTGTATGTACACCCCACCCATATGATTTTATTTGCAGTGGATGCTCTCATTCAAATAGCTTAAGGGAAAACTTCTTAACAATTCAGAGTGGTCCAAAGAACATGTTCATTTCCAAGAGAAGAAATGGTGAATTCTATGCCTTCTGTGCTCTTTACCAGTGTGATGTGGATATAAGCAGCAATGTAGGGCATTCAAATATCCAAAGTGTGAGTATTAATTTACTTGATCTATTAAATTTTAGAAACAATTTTCACCTTAAACTGATCTCAGCTCTTTTATTTATTTTTCTTTTGGTGCCACGTATTACTCCTGGATCGCCCAGTATAGAAAAATAAAAATCTCTGTCCCGTTTTGTCCGCCCCAACCTGGCTTACAGTTTTCCCAGCACAAACCTCCCAGTCCGGCCCTGCTGTGCACAGTTATTGCATATGGCGTGTTTCGATCCTGACAGGTCAATCATCATGAAAAAAGCAGATTAAGGGACGAGGGGGGCAGTGTGTGGCTCAGTGGGCCAAGGCTCTGCGCCTGTGATCAGAAGGTCAGTGGGTGAAGCCTGCCCCCGGAAGAACGGTCACTGGTTCACTGGGCCATGAGCGAGGCCCTTAATCCCCATCTCCCTGGGTGCCTTAAGGTGGCTGCCCCTTTGCTGTGATCCCCAAAGTCACTCTCGCCTGTATAGAAGAACAGGATGGGGCAAAGCAAATAGAGAATTTCCCCACAGGGATTAGTAAAGTATCACTATTAGATACACAAACATATCCTAGCAATAGACTTGCTTACATAATA